AGGCTGTGGAGTGTTTCTGGGAGCCTTCAGTGCGTGGGGGACTTCGACTTCTCCAGCTTGCGTAGGTTGGTTCAGCCTAGAAGACACAGGGATAATTGCACGGGGTGGAAACAGTTGCACTTCAGGTGTTGTTTCTGTTCTGTTCACTTGCTGCAGCACCAGGGCTGTCATCCTGCAGGCCTCCCTTTGCAGGTTTGCAGGACCGTGATTCTGGCCCGAAGCTTGACAAACTCCCCAGGATCCTTCTGAGATGGGAAATGAGATCCACCTGCTCGTGTTCCAATAAGGATTCGTTCTCAAAGGCCATTTTCCTCCATATGGTTTAATAGAGTTGATTTTGTATCCCTAAGGAAAACAGACTTCCAAGTTTCACGGGCTTACTAAAGTACAGATATACAGCTACTGCTTTAAATGAAATCATCTCTCCTCAAAGGCTTTGGTTCTCACCAGGGGAGGTTCCCCCTCAGGGTGCGTTTGGCAGTGTCCAGAGACCTTTTTGGTTGTCACAACTGGGCAGAGAGGGGAAAGTGCTGTTGGCAGGGCTGCTGCCAAGCCTGATGCAGTGCCCGGGATGAGCCCCACACTGACTGACCAGCCTCAAACGTCCACAGTGCTGGGGGTGTCTGCACTTCAGCCACAGAGGCCCTTGCTGCTCAGAGGCTGCCACCCACCATGCAGCCCATCTGTGTGGAGGTGTGGGTCCAAGCCATTTTCTGTGGCTGAGCATCCCTGTGGACGGTATTAGGTGCCAGACCCTCTCACAACTAAAAATCATGAGGCTAAAGACCAATTCCGAAAGCTCCTTGTATGCTGCCCCTTGGACAAGCATTAGAAAATGGAGGTGCTTCTGCCCTCCAGTGGGACTGGGTGGCTGACAACTCCACTTGAACCATTTCCGTGGCAGCCAGTGGCACAGGGAATGAAAGGGAAAACCCTTAACGAGTTTCCTGATGGATTAGTGCTTTATTATTTTAATGAGTCACCATTAATTACCTTTGTATCTCAGAAATTTAGAAAGTAACTTTTGATTTGGGGGAAATATAAAAATTACATTTTAGTTCAAAAGGCCAGACCTCAAAACACAGTTAAAATATATTTTATTGCGTGCTGCTTTGCTGCCTTTGGGGCCTTCTGGGGCTGTACCTAGAAGGCAGCAAAGATGACAGCATCGCCCTTTTCCAGCAGTCACTTGGATGACGTGGTGGCAGGAATGGGGTCAGAACTGCCCCAGCCATATTCGGCCGCTCCTCACTGAGCTAGAACCTTGTGGGAAGCAGATAAACAGCAGAGTGTGGCTGGCATATAAAAATGTGATGATTTCCCAGGCTGGTGCTAAAATCCTTTCTCCTCTCAGTGTAAGGGTGTCCCTGCCCAATTAAAGGGTTCCTTTTGGCCCTTTTCTCCCCCATAGCAGTGGGGGCTGCAGGTGAACAAGGGGAGGGATGCTGCTGGGCAGAGAGCCGGAGAGGAGCGCTCTTCCCTGCTGGGCCCAGGGAGGCGCTGACTTGTGTCCTGCTCTGTCCAATGCAGCATGTGCTGAAGCCTTTTTACTTGTGCAGATAACATGTAATGCCTGCTCATTATGAAACACTGACTGAACGTAAAGTATGTTATAGTGAACCCTGGAGCTTACCCTTTTCCTTCCTCCTTTTAATAGTTGTGTGCATTTTGTCTTTTAAAAAAAATACAAGTAATTTCTATTCTAAAAGGTTCCAAGAGAACAGAAGTTTTAAAAGAAATAGATATGACACTTTCTTACCACCCCACACCCCTGTCACCTCCCCAGTCAGAGAATGCAGTCCTTAGCAGTCCTGTGTTCTTCTTTCAGCACCATTTATAGGACCTTTCACTCAGCACGTTTCTGCTGAGTCCTCATTTCATTCAGCTTAAGTGCTGGGCATGTGGTGCTTTACACACAAAACAGGATATTATATGTGAGATTCTAAGACTTGCATTTTTAAAATCATGACAAGCCTCTGACATCTCTCCATGTCAGTGCATATAAATAACCTTGCATGGTGTTCCATAACGTGGGTGTATGGGCCCCCTTTGCTTAATGATCCCTTCATATTGGATATATTAGGATCCAAGATTGGTTGTGATAGTCCCTGTGGGCCGTCTGGGACTGCTGTGGCATCGTCATGACATGGGGCCCAGGCCCCTTCCATCACACAGCTCTGTTGTCCCCCTGCTTATGTCTTCTGCCATGTTCACTCCTCCTGGGAAGGGAAAGAGGGCGGCATTTATAATTTAGACACATTTCTGATCATGTCCCATTGGCCAGAATTGGGCTGCAAGATCAGACTTAGCTGCAAAGGAAACTGGGAACTGTGCTCAGCTAAACTTGCATTGAGGATGAAGAGGGGAAAAATAGATGTTAGACTGGCAGTCTTTTCCACAGTAGCATGTAGACAGCTTACAGGTTTTTACCAGTGAAAGTATTATACATCCTTGTATGTACATTTCTGTACAAATGCAAGTATTTCTATAGGATGGACACCTAGAAGTCAAAGGTATGTACAGTAAAAATTTTAAGAACCACCCAAATTGCCTTCCAAAAATAGCTTCCTCAATTTATACTCGCACCAACGATAAGCCAGCACCCTGTTGAACATTGTGGTCAGCATGGGGTATTATTCATACTTAAAACTTCTTTCCAGTTTGCTGGATGAAGATAGGTAGATGGATGATTCTCATTGTAATTTGCATTTCCATGATTAATCGAGAGCGTGAAACTTTCATAGTTGTTGATCATTCATGTTTCTTCCGTGAATTGCCTGTGTGAAGCTTTTGCCTATTGTATATTGTTTTTGTTGTTTTGTCTTTGTTGATCTGCAGCAGAAGCTTATATACACACACACATTCTAAATATAAAGCCTATGTCACATATGTTATACCTACTTTATTCTTAAATTGCTTGTCACAGGTATGTGTTTTTATCAGAATTATATAATTTTTACATTGCTCTATTTTTCTTTAACGTTTCTAGGTTTAAGAAGGTCTTTCTTACACCAAAATAAATTTTTAAATCTTTTATTCTGCTTTTGTATTTATTTTTAAAATCTGTCCTGATTGTGTGTGGAATCTCAGATGGCAATATTGAATGGTTAGTTGGATTTTACAAGTATCACTTGTTGAATTGTTCATTCTTTCTTCGCTGAGTTAAAATGCCACCTTCATTACAGTTATATATGTGGCTCTGTTCCTGGGCTTTCCCTCCTGTTGATTTGTTTGTCTCGCCTTCCCCAGTACCATCCTGTAATTACCATAGATTTATAGTGTATTTAATATCTGCTAGCGTGAGTCCTCACTCATTATTCCTTCTTTACAATTTTTTTTGTGTTGTGCTATTCTTATACCTTTCTCTTCAGCATTAACTTTAGAATCAGCTTGTCAGATTCCATTAAGGAAACCCCTGATGGTATTTTGATTGGGCACTGCCTTTATAGATTCATTAGGAAAGAACTGCCGTCTTTAGAATCCTTCTGTGAGAGTTTACTTAGAGCATATCCAAGTGTTCTCTTACTCGTGCAGTGACGAAGAACAAGACACCAGGTGATGGCAGTTTAGCAAGGTGAAATGGCACAGCGTAAGCAGAGGGTGGTCCCCTCGTGGTAGAGATGTCTGCAGCCCCACCACACCTGTGCTGTCGGCACATCCTCCCCGTCTGGGATGGGACTTGCATCTGGTGACGTGTGTGCATATCAAGAAGGCCTCTGCCGCCACCACCTTGATGACAGTCTTCTCCAGGCCTGGTTTGGTCTTTCTGTCTTCTGTTCCTTTTCCCCTTTGCATTAGAAACAATCCTCTTGGCAATACCAGAGGCAATGTTTGTGGCTTAGCTTTGAGGAAACACAGTCACCTTTACTGTAAGTGCACAGAATTGATTTCTGCTAGAGTGTCACTACTTAAACTATTGGTGCCTGAGGAAGGATAAATAAGTGATGGCGTTCTATGCAGAAGAATTGCTTAAAAATGTTACCTTTGGGGCTTCCCTGGTGGCGCAGTGGTTGAGAGTCCGCCTGCTGTTGCAGGGGACACGGGTTCGTGCCCCGGTCTGCAAAGATCCCACATGCCGCGGAGCGGCTGGGCCCGTGAGCCATGGCTGCTGAGCCTGAGCGTCCGGAGCCTGTGCTCCGCAATGGGAGAGGCCACAACAGTGAGAGGCCCGCGTACCGCAAAAAAAAAAAAAAGAAAAATGTTACCTTTGAGTGAGGATTTTAGTCATTTCTCTGGTGAGATGAGGACCATTCCTCTCTATGTTTACCAGTAATAGCTGGAGTGTTTTCAAGTACTGAAGAGTACAGTGTGTCCAGAAAAATATTTCACTTAGCAGATTCATGCTAATATGTTATTGTTCTGTGATTTGAAAAAAAAAATTATGGAGCCAAATCTATTTGTACTCCTTCAATGTGATCTAAATCATCTAGAGGATAAAGTGCTTATGGGTAGCTCTGAAATTAAAGGGGCAAGAGGGAAAAACATGCACATTTGAGGACCCGATCAACTTTTCTGAGCTCATCTTCTTTATAATCGAGGAGCGTGTTCTGCTGTATAAGCCCAGAGAAGTTACGGAGTAAAGGGTGAGAAGGAATGGTGTGAAGTAGCATGCGTAGCCTTGGGATTTATAAGAGAAAGCTGTGGTTTGGCTGCAAGAGGGTGGGAGAGGAAGGGTGGGTGTGAAGGCCTCGTTGTGGGACACGTGGAGGGAAATCCCTCAGTGGAGTGAGTGCGCTCCCAGGGGGCAGCGAGAACTGAACAGGGGAGGAGAGGAGCTCGGGATTGAACTGTGCCACCGCCCGGTTCTACCTGATGAAACAGCGTGTGGGCAGATGGTGGGGAGGTTAGTTTGCTGCTGTTCACAGTGGGTAGAGATGGCAGCTCAGGAACGCTCTGTGCAGCGGGCCCCATGCATGGGACCCTCTTGGAGGTGCAGGTGCTGGTGAGCAGGCAGAGTTCGCCATGTGTGAGTCACAAACATGCACTGTTTTCTTTTCCAGAACTACACTCAGTACATCCCCCTGTCTATATATGACCTGCAGACATGGATGGGCAGCCCCTCCATATTCGTCTACGACTGCTCCAACGCTGGTCTCATTGTCAAGTCCTTCAAACAGTTTGCCCTGCAGAGGGAGCAGGAGCTGGAGGTGAGGCCCTGAACACACTGGGCGGTGGGGGTGGCCATGGGGGACTATTGGCCTGGAGCTGTGGTTTTGTTTCTTTGGGTGGGGCAGGCTCAGAGTGCTCGGCGCAAGGTGGTGGGGTCCACGACAAAGAACTTGGAAAGGACTCAGGACAAGCTCTTGGGCTTATTTTTACACCTCGTTTTACCCAGCATCATTTTTAATCCGAATTTTAATTAAGCAATAAAATTAATAGAGTTGAATTGTGCTTCAGTGGGCTCTGCCTTCGAGATAAATGTGAAAATAAAGCAGACACATTTATTTTCGGAGAAATGGACCCCTGTCTGGGCACAGTCTTCAGTTCCACCCGCATCTTAGTTATTGCCCTCATTTTTTTGTCTTTTGTGTTGGAAAAAACCCCTACTACGCTAAATACAGAAAACAAAACAGCTACAGCTGCCGTTGGTGCCTTCCATTTAAAGAACTGGAGAGCCTGTGTAGTGCTCTGATCGTGAAGAAACGTTTTACTTGGTTGTTTTAATTAATATTTGATGTTTGAATTAAACAGTGACTTCTAAAGAGAAACTGAAGAGGCACTTTCAGTTAAGAGGCCTCCATCCTATGGCCTGCACAAGAGTGAGAATAAAATATTCTGCAGCCTCCAGGGGGTCATGAATTCCAACTGGTTGCAGTGCAGGAAATTCTCAATTCAGGAACAGAAATGGCACTGAGTACATGTTTCCTCAAGCCTTTTTGGGTCTATCCAATTTTAATGTATTGTTATGTTTTTCACATTTCATCAGAGGATATTGCTGAAATAATCAGCAATAAAATTTGAAATTCTACTTGGGAGAACTTAACATGTCATACAGTTAATTTATAAATATTTTATAAATTAAAATGTTTATAAATTAAGCCCTTATGCAGAACTTTGCACCAGAGTGACTGATAAATTACCCTTTATCCCAGTGCCACAAGTTGTTATTGTTATTATTATTATTTGCATTCTAGAATAAGAGAAGGGAAAGGTCAAGTTTTATATCATTAAATTTTTACCTTGCTTTTAGGCATTTCATCTAAGTTTATCCAAGGGATAGGTTATCTTATGAGTGCTAAAAACTCAAAGCACCAAGAGGTAATTGCTTCTCCTCGCATCAAGTAATAAATCTTGAAAAAATATTTTTTTTGTTTTCCATTTAAAATGTGTAAATAAAAATGCCAAAGAATCCAGCCTGATATTTATCCCCAACTTATGAGCTTCAGGGTGATTAAGGAAAGACCAATACATCCGCCTTTGTTAATTAAAACATGTTAAATAGGGCTTCGCTGGTGGCACAGTGGTTGAGAGTCCGCCTGCCCATGCAGGGGACACGGGGTTAGTGCCCCGGTCCGGGAAGATCCCACATGCTGCGCAGCGGCTGGGCCCGTGAGCCATGGCCACTGAGCCTGCGCGTCCGGAGCCTGTGCTCCGCAACGGGAGAGGCCACAGTAGTGAGAGGCCCGCGTACTTCAAAAAAAAACAAAAAACAAAAAAAACATGTTAAATATAGTCCCTCTCCCACCCTTCTCAGCAGAAGACAAGCATTTCCCTCTTATGCTCTAGCACTTGGAGTATCTGCTCTGTCGGTTCTGTAAATGTTCTCTGTATGTTGCCAAGGATTAATCAGCCTAAGAAACTGTTCATTTCATTGAATGCGACAAAAAAGTTTTCCATGCATCTTTTTGGGGTGAGGAGGGAAATGTTTAATTGACTAATTCCTAATGGAGGAGAATAAATGAAAAATATGTTATCTGAAGTGGCAAATAGATGGCAATGTAAAGTTATACCATACGTTTTATAATTAGCTCTGACTTTTATCTTCATTCTTTTCTTAATTACAGTGCAGATAAGTCTTACGGTTTTCCATTACACTTACTATTATTGGCTGTTGTTCAGCTGGTCTCTTGCATCAACAGCGGAAATTAAAATGATAAAATTGGCTCCCAGCTAATATCTTAATGTTCATGTTAGTTATTATTTTTATCTGCTGTAGAAACAGCAATCCTGTGTGGCCTCTTAGGTTTATTCTTTTAAAAAATTCTTTCCCTGTCTGCAGTTGGCCAGATTCTTTGTAAATTTATGATACATTTTAACACTTTTATTGGGTAGATGATAACATGAAACTGAAAAAAACTGGCGGGTAAAATGGTTTGTGCCAGAGTTTAAAAAATAAAGAGGGTAAAAATGATTAAATATAATGCAAGAAAATAGTTACCTGGACCAGAAAGCCTCCAAGTAATAAACATTAACACAAATATGAGTGACATAAATTTTAAGAGAGGGTTATCAGCTTTCATATTCTTGGACTTCCATCTCAAAGGAATACTGCAGGTGAAGTAGAAGATGCCTCCATGAAAGCATGGCATAAATTATTGCACACAATTGAAACTTCATCATAGCCAGGAAAAATGCATGTCTGTCCCTCAGTAATGGTCTCTACATTTTTCCTTGTGTCATATTTGCTTTGTAATTTGAAAACTAAGGAAAGTCTTCAGTTCTCTCTGCTTTCCATGTTTTTTTTTTAAGATAAATTTTTTTTGTGTGTGTGTGTGTGCGATACGTGGACCTCTCACTGTTGTGACCTCTTCCGTTGTGGAGCATAGGCTCCAGATGCGCAGGCTCAGCGGCCATGGCTCACAGGCCCAGCCGCTCCGCGGCATGTGGGATCCTCCCAGACCGGGGCACGAACCCGTGTCCCCTGCATCAGCAGGCGGACTCTCAACCACTGCGCCACCAGGGAAGCCCTAAGATAAATATTTTTATTTTTACTAAATTAGTATATGCCATGATTTTAAAAATTAAATAGTACCAAGGGTTTATAATGAATGAAATATGCCCTGGCCCACACCTCCTTGGCCAAGACTCTGCTACTATAGGGAACCTATTTTAACTGTTTATATTTCTAGTTCCTCTATGAGTATCTCTATAAATGTAAATAATATGCTTATACTACTACTGCTTGATTCATAAATTTTAGATTATCAGGCTTTCTGCTACTGTATAAACCAAAAACAGAGTTGCCATTAGTAAATTCTATTTAAAGAATTGGAGAAATTATATAGAACTTTGATAGTAAAGAGACATGTTACGTAGTTTTAAGTCATATTTGTTGTTTGTATTAAATTGTGAATTCTAAAGAGAAATTGAAGAGGGTGAGTCACTAACTGCCCCCTCCTGTTTCCCCACTGCAATTTAGTTGTGTCACTACATTTGGATTCCCTATACTTTGTAACCTTTGCAATTTGAAATAATACCCTGACGTTTTTATTTCTAGTTTCGTCAGTAATCAGTACTATCCTCTGGCTTTAGGTTCTTAGCTTCCTTGGACTTTCTTTTACCTCTGGACCTTTCCAACTTCTGTCATCTGCACTTTTATGATTATTCTCTAGTCTCTGACCATAATTAAGTCCCCATGCTTTGTGTATGAGTTGATTCTAAAATATGACAAATATTAAACTTCAACTCCCTGATTATGACCATGTAAATATTGTTCATTGAATGGCTAAATAGGGTGCTATGCTTTCCATTTTTATAACAGTTTTTGTTTCTTTGATTTTCCTGAAGATTTTCTCTTTTCTTATTGAATTAGATCTTTAACATTTCCTCAGTTCCTAAATTTGCAAGGGTAGTATTGAATCTCAGAATATACCTCTTCCCAAAGTTTCTTCTTTCCCAGCTCTCCACTGCCTGCTTCAATCAGCTGTTCTAAATGGGCCTGCTCCAAAGCTGTCATCCTGGGATTTCTCCTTATCACTCTCCTGGAAGCATCCACTGTTTTCTAGATCCCACCTCTGTCTCTTTCTCAGTTTTCTCCTTTGTTCTGCTAGGGCAAATCCTCAAATAACAACCCAAGAACTGATGTATGGGAGTAATTTTTCTCAGGCTTTAAGTGTTTGCATTTGGACTGCTTTTAGCTGAAAGTAATGAAAAATCTCACTATTGCTTTCTAAACAAGTAACAGTTTGTCATTTTTGCTAAGATCTCTGAGGCAAATGATTTAATTATTCAGCAGTACCATTAGGGACCCAGGCTGTTTTTAATCTCTACACTCTGATGTTTTATCTTGATGGTTACAGTACATTCTTCCACGTTGAGCCTGGATGAGGTGGGGACAGGGCAGAGCTATCACATTTGTCTCTCTTGTTAGGAAAGCAAGTGCAGATATGAGACCCTTATGTCTCATTAGCTAAAGCTGGGTCATATGCGATGTGCCCCGCCCCTCATAGTTGGGGCAGGGGGTGGCAAAAGGGAGTGGAGTTGGGATGAGTACTGGTCTGTCTGACAGTGAGTGTCAGCTATATTGCATGTGTTATTGTCTTCATTTTGTCCACATGCATTATGGACAGTTTGGGTATGGAATTTTAAGCTGTTTTCACTAAACTATATCACCCTTACTTCTTGCAATAGATGAGAAGGTGGCCTTGTTGTAGCCATAACCAAGAATTCATGATAAAAGCCAGAGAAGGAGTATTTATATCCACAGTACACGGTATATATGTTGAGAGAGAAAGAGAGAATTCAGATTTCTTTTTTTTTTTTTGCAACAGCTTTTATCTTGGTTATAAAATCTTTGTAACTAGAAGAAGGAGACTAAATCTTCAGTGGATTCTCTTTGAAATAGTCTTTATTAAGTTTTATCCATTAGTTCTACTTCCATTGAATATTTCCCACGGGCAGTTATGATTCTTCTCTTCACTGAAGACAGCAATGAAGCAGGGGTCAAATCTCGGCCTTTTCCTCTTTTTCTTTGGAGGCAGGGAGGTGAGTTGGTGTCTGGTGGTGGGAACAGGATTGCCTTTCTTTTACAGAGACTGATGGGGCTGAGCTGTATCCCAGTAAGACTTGATCCTCAGCACGATCATCCTCGTTGGTGTAGGATGGGAGCCCAGATAGTTTCTCGGTGGCAGCCACAGCGGTGGTGGGACAATTTCTTCCCCCAAGGATGGTCGACATGCTTTGAGGGAGTCTGTTGTTGAGGTTCAGG